TGTCCACCTGTCCCTCTGTGTCCCATCTGTCTCTGTGTCCACCTGTCCCTCTGTGTCCCACCTGTCTCTGTGTCCACCTGTCTGTCTCTGTCCCTCAGTGGTACAAGCTGGACGAGCTGTTTGAGCAGGAGAGGAACCTTCGAGCCGCCATGACAAACCGAGCTGGACTTTTGGCCCTGATACTGCACCAGACCATCCAGCATGACCCAGTCGCCACAGACCTGCGCTCCACCAAAGATAGGTAGACCTACGAGGACAGGTAGACCCACGAGGACAGGTAGACTCATCAAGGACAGGTAGACCCCCGAGGACAGGTAGACCCCTGAGGACAGGTAGACACCCGTGGACAGTTAGACCACCAAGGACAGGTAGACCCCCGTTGACAGGTAGACTCATCAAGGACAGGTAGACCCCCGAGGACGGGTAGACTCATCAAGGACAGGTAGACTACTGAGGACAGGTAGACCTCTGAGGACAGGTAGACCCCCGAGGACAGGTAGACACCCGTGGACAGGTAGACCACCGAGGACAGGTAGACCACCAAGGACAGGTAGACTCCCGAGGACAGGTAGACACCAGAGGACAGGAAGATTGGAAGACTCAGATGGACTGGTTCCTGGTTTCTGGAATGAACCTGTTTTATCAGCTGCTGAGTCCGAGCAACATTTTGGTTTTTCTTTTGTCCTGGTTTCTGGTCTGTATTCAGGTTCTTGTCTGCGGTTGAGTTCTGGTCCACAGTAAACCTGCTGCTGCTCCTGAACTGGTTTTCAGTTTAATGAACTGCATTACCCACAATCCTCTGCCTCACCCATCTGCCTCTGCCGTGGAGACAGCAGCTCTGAAACACTACAGGTTCATCAGGAATCACGACCGTCACTTCCTGTTTCTTTTCACAATAAGAGCTGGGTCAGCATTTTATTCAGACAGCAGCAGGAAGTCCATTCGACATGAGTCCGTCTGAAGATGGAGTCTGGACTCGACTGGGCCTCTCACCTGATTGTCTGAGCCAACAACCAATCAGCTTCCACCACAAAGATCACATTTGACATGTTTCTATTTTTCAGACTGAATCTGAAACTTGTCGTGTTTTACTTTGTCAACATTTACAAAACTAATCAATTTGGCACACGATGGATCAGTGGTTAGCCCTTTTGCCTCACAGCTAGAAGGTGTTGGGTTCAATCCCCAGTTGTACCTGGGGTCTTGCTATGTGGAGTTTGCATGTTCTTCTCATGCTTGCGTGGGTTTTCTCCAGGTACTCCGGTTTGTTCCCACAGATCAAAAAACATGCAGGTTAGTCTGATTCAGGTCCAGGCCTCCATTGAAAAACAGATCTGTGAGCTCAGTGGGATTTGTCTGGTTAAATAAAGGTCAAATAAAGGTTAAATAAAGGTCAAGTAATAATAATAAACTGTTGTCATGTTTTATTCTGTTAACATTTGCAAAACTAAAAAAACTTTTCGTGTTTTATTCCATGAAAGTTTACAAAACTTAAACACTGTTGCCAACAAAGTCCATGCTCAATAATCCAGGTTTACAATCCAACAATTTTCAGTCAGGTCATCTGGAGACCATCTTAGCACCAACATAACTGGTTTGTTCCACTTGCTGTTTGGGGAAGAATCAGTTTTGGGTTGTGTGTTTCCTTGACTGATGAAGCCTTCTGGATGGAAGGTGAAACGCTTCAGCACAAAATAAATAAACTGTCCAGATGACCTGAGTGAAAACTGTTAACACAGTTGTTGATGTGGAGTAAGTCCTGTCAGTTTATCAAATGGGTTAAAAAAAGCAACTGGGGATGTAGAGTTAGCTAAAGTCCTACAGGATGAAGTCTGCTTGTCATTTATAAAAATGCTGAACAAAAAATAAGACTCTTACAAATAATGTGTAAAAAGGAAGTGCTGGAAAGATTGTGGGGGAAGTAAGAGGAGTCATTTCAGGGATCCCTGTAGGAGAAAATCAGGATGAGTTAAAGAAAGTATAAAAAAAGAAGGAGACATTACAGGCTTTCAGGAGGACAGTACATCTGTGTTACTGGAGTTCAAAAATAAAGTTCTGCCTGATAAAGTTACGATTGAATATATGAGCTTTAGTGTGAGCGTCCATGTTCCACCTCCCAGATGCTACAAATGTCAAAGGTATGGACATCTTGCTAATGTTTGTAACGTGGTAGGTGTGGGGCTGAACATCCTTATGGGGAATGTGGGAACAATCCTGTTAAATGTTGTAACTGGAGGAAGTCCTACTGCAGCACATGCACGATGCAGGATAAGGAAAAAGGCAGCTGAAGTCCAACAAATAAAAATAGACAAGAAAATTACATGCAGAAGCAGTGAAAGTGCTAAACTGTAATGAAACTGGTCCGAAAACAACTGACAGAGAAAAAAGTTACAGGTAATAGCCAAGGTAATGTTACAGTGGATGAGCTGGTTCCTGGCATACATCATAAACTGTTCAGAACAGGCAACAACTAAAAGAGAAAAAATAAAGATTGTTGTCGAGGCAGCTGCAAAGTTTTTTAATGTGAAAGATTTATCTTGGGGAAAAATCCACAATGAACTTAGACTTGGAAAAGGGTCATATGAGGCTTCTCAAAACATAATTCTAATATTACAATAGGATGTCCCCAGCCTAATGGTCAGGAATTTAAAGGCTTCATTAATACATTAAATACAAAATCATATATGCATTCAAGAAACATGGCTCGAACCATCAATTGGAGGATCCAATTGGAGGATCATCTTAGAGCTATTCCAATCTGGCTTTAAACCTCCCCACAGCACTGAAACTGCCCTGCTGAAGGTCTTTAACAACATCTTCAGATCCACAGATACCGGTGATTCTGAGCTGCTTGTCTTGTTGGACCTCACAGCCGCCTTTGATGCCATCGACCATGAGATCCTCATTGCTAGGTTGGAGCAGTCGGTGGGCGTCACAGGGTCAGCCCTCAATTGGTTCAGATCTTACCTCGCTGACAGATCCTATTGTGTCTCCATGAAAGATTTTAGTTCAGCAGTGGTAGAGCTTAAATGGGGGGTTCCGCTGGGGTCCATCCTGGGTCCCCTCCTATTCTCTTTATACCTGCTGTCGCTTGGTGCTATTTTCCAGAAACACAACATGCCCTTCCACTTCTATGCCGATGACTGTTAAATTTGCTTCCCCCTAAGACACAATGGTACATGCTCTATTCAACCTCTGCTCGACTGCCTGGCTGACATCAGGGACTGGATGGCTTTAAACTTCTTAAGTTTCAATGAAAAGAAGTCTGAAGTCATCAATCAACCTTTATTTCTACAGGTAAATCCCATTGAGCCTCGAGGACTCATTTACAAGAGAGACCTGATTTCAACAAAGAAAGATGACAACAATGGACAACAAGACAACAATAAACAGTTATAAAAAAGTCATACTACAGGTTGTTTTTTTTTTTTTTAACAAATAGGATGGCTAAAAGGAAAAGGTAACAAAACAAAAAACAGCTAGATTCCAAGACAAATGTAGAAAACTAAAAACAGGAACATGTCTGCATTGGTCCCTGCCAGGAGTCCAACAGATTCTTAAAGACACTTAGAGAGGTCAAAGGTCGAGAGCTTCAAATCTTTTTGTAAGATATTCCAGGAAACAGGAGCGGAGTAGGAGAAGGTCCTTTTGTCTAGTTCAGTCCTCACTGAGGGAACACTGCAGGTAATGATGTCCTGAGAGCGCACGCTGTAGCTGCACTCACACAGAGACATGTAGGAGGAGATGTATGAAGGCAGCAGACCAGGAAGTGATTTAAAGATGAAAATGTAGCAGTGGGAGAGTCTGTGTGAAGTTAATGGTGACCAGTTAACCAGTGAATACTGGGTGCAGTGGTGGGTACGATAATCACAGCCAGTTATGAATCTTAGTGCACCATGATAGACAGCATCCAACATCTGCAGCATCCAACATCTGCAGCGTTCATGTAAATAATGTCACCGTAATCAATTGAGGGAAGGAAAGTCACAGATACAAGGTGTTTCCTAACATTCAGAGTTAGACAGGATCTGTTTCTGAAAAAGAAACCCAGTTTAACTTTCAGTTTCTTTATCAAGTTTTCCACATGGAGCTTAAAAGATGTGAGTCGACCAAGATACCCAAATATTTATAGGAATCAACAAACTCAGTGTGGACACCATTTGAGGATAAAATCAGAGGAAGAACTGCTGGGACCAACTTCCTATTTGAAAAAAGCATCCCTTTGGTTTTGTCGGCATTTAGGACAAGTTTGAGGTGAAACAAATCTGTCTGGATGTTGTTAAATGCAGATTTCAAAAGATGGAAAGCCTTAGCAACAGTTTTAGCTCGACAATAAACAACTGTGTCATCAGCATAGAAATGTATGGATGCATCAGGGATACTCTGACCTACATTATGTATGTAGATTGTAAAGAGGGTGGGTCCTAAGACTGAGCCTTGTGGTACACCATTGTTGACTGTTAAATAACTGGAGGAAGTACCATTATGTTGAACACATTGCCTCCGGTCTGAAAGATAGTTAGAGAACCATCCAATGGTGTGATCTGAGAAACCAATTTCTGAGAGTTTATGACACAAGATGTTCTGATCCACAGAGTCAGAATCTTTAGACAGGTCTAAGAAAAGTGCAGCACAATAATCTTTAGCATCCAGTGCTTCAACAACGTCATTAAGAACCTTCAGTGAAGCAGTGGTTGTGCTGTGTTGTTTCCTGAAACCAGATTGATGTGGAGGTAAGATGTTAAATGAGTCCAGGTAATTTTTAATTTGAGAGTTTATCAGTTTTTCTAGAACCTTGGCTAAAATGCAGAGTTTAGAGATTGGTCCATAGTTGTTCAGTGAGGTGGGGTCACCTCCCTTCAGCAAAGGAAGAACAAAGGCTGTTTTCAAGTGTCTGGATGGAGTTTTGTCTTATGGAGAGATTGAAGATGTGGGTCACAGGGACTGTGATGATATGAGCAGCCAGCCTTAAGAAATAAGGTGGAAGTTCATCGGGACCTGCAGATTTTTTAGGGTCAAGATCTTTTAACAGTTTATTGACCTCACTGACTGAGAATGGAGAAAAAGAGAAGCTGTGATTAACTGAGGATTGACTTGTAGGAGGGATTTGATTTGTAGAAGTTTGGTTATTA